CTCCTTGTTAAAAGTTGATTGTCCGTCCAGTTCACGTGGTCTGTTGCCGAGCCTGGTATTTTTATTTTCTGTACAAGTTTTCGTAATGTGCAGTTTATCGGTGGCATCTGCTAGTTCGTAACTCCCACATCATATAAATTGTACAGTAATGATGAATCGGAAACTCTATGATTTTAAACCTCCGCTTTTTCAGAGAAAACGAGAAGTGTTCTTCGCGTGGATTTCATCCAAATGGCAGAGAAGTGGCAGCCGCAGTGTGGCGTCGAGTTAGAGCCGAATCAGTTTTACTGCTCGGTATGTCTGGACCTGCTCAAAGATCCCGTCACCATCCAGTGTGGACACACTTACTGCAGAAGCTGTATCGAGGGATGCTGGGACCAGGAAAAAGAGAAGGGAACGTACAGCTGTCCTCAGTGTAGGGAGACCTTCAGCCCAAGGCCTGTCCTCGGGAGGAACAATATGCTGGCTGAGGTGATGCATCCACGTTGCTGCTTTTGAAAATAAATAAAATGACAATTTATTTGACGTAGAGAGTTAACTAAAGTTCAAATTCTCGGAGCTCAGAGAAATACTTGATGAGAAATATTTTTTTTGTTCATTTTTATTATTATTCTTTCTAATATTATCATTATCCAATTTCTAGTTTGTTTTCATTTACAACATTCATAAACAGATTTTCATTAATGGTGTGGTGGTTTGCTTGGTTTGTTTCTAGTCTGAGACACATCCCTTTGGGTTGAGTCAGGAAGGGCAGCTGGTATAAGTGAGTACAGTGAACTCATTGTTATCTTTAAGAAACCAGTTTGAGATGATTTGAGCTTTGAGACGGTGTGTTAGCCTGCTGGAAGTAGCCATCAGTAGATGACAGGCTGCGGTCATAAAAGGATGGACGTGGTAGGCAACAATACTTTGGTAGGCTGTGGTGTTTCGGTGATGCTGTGTTTGGGCTGGGGGGAGGGGCAAAGTGTGCCAGAGGATATCACCTCTACAGCATTCTAACACAAACCGGAACTGATGCAAAGCAGGATGGATCCATGCTCTTATATTGTTCATGCCAAACTCTCACTATCAACTGAAAGTTGCAGGAGAAATTTGTTCTTCAGAACCAGCGACAATCTTCTTCAGTAGTATAATTTTGGTGAGCGTGTGTGAATTCTGGCCTGAGTTTTGTGTTCTTAGCTGTGGAAGTGGCTCTTCTGCTGTTGCAGACCATCTGCTTAGTTTGAATTTCAGCAGGTGATCTTGACCATGTCTACATGCTTAAATGCAGTGAGTTGCTGCCATGTGTTTAGTTGATTAGATATGTGTTGAAACAAGCAGATGAACAGATGCACCTCAAAGTGTCCAGTAATCATAATTTTATATTTTCTTTGGCATGTCATTAGATTTTCTTGTGGGTGTTTGCATTGTCTGCTCTTGTTACCCCTAAAATATTTAAATGAATTATATTATCATCATAGCACATGCTTTCTAAATGATAGTGCAATCTTAAAATAAATAACACATTTTTCTATAGTTTCGATTCTGTTTGTCGT